CTCGCTCTCTCTCTCTCTCTCTCTCTCTCTCTCTCTCTCTCTCTCTCTCTCTCTCTCTCTCTCAATAATGTAAATTGGTATCACTCCAAAAAAAACTTTGGATTAATGTCATCGGGTTGAGTTGTTCTTGGAGATGACTACGGTAATGTACTTCTAAATTTTATAATTTAACGAATGTTTTTTATAATTTTTATTAGTAATTTTATAATAAAAAAATTTATAACTTTTGTGCGCATTTTTATTGTTTTTTTGTGGTACGTGTGATCGATCTTAACATTTTAAGATCGATCATAAGATACTACAAAAGTGATAAAAATAATTATCATAATAATGATAAATATACCATAAAAATTATTAAGACACCGACAAAAATCAAAAAATGGCGGTACAGTATAGATTTTTTTTTTTGTTGGTACCTTAGACTACTCTTTTATTGATAATGTTTGTTAATGCAACTAATTAGGTGGAAATTTAGAGATAAGTTCTTCATTCAATTGGGTGTCTACATTTATGTTTCCTAGTAGTACCTAAATGAGTTGGCAACCTTGGATTCCAATTTGCCATCCTCTATACAAAGTAACAAAATTATTATTTTCTCATAAATTTTTTAGCTTTATAATTTTAAATTCAAATTTTGAAAAGTTTTTTTAAAAAAAAAATTATTGTTCTTGTGATGGGTGTAAGTTTTTGAAACAATTTGTTAAATACATGAGTGAAGAGAGGGAAGATTTGAGGTTGGTAAATATAAAGTGATTCCAAACCGAAAAAAAATAATTAGTTGAAGTGTGTGTAAGTTAGTATAGACATTGTTGACTGTTGAATTAAAAAAATATTACTAATTTTTAAATTTGAACTTCCGGGAGATAAGATAAAATTAGCTGTTACATTAAACTCTCTACCCCTTGAGATTATACTCTGGAACCAGGTAGTTGCAGAGCTGTTCATTTACCAGCATTAAATCTGAAAAATAGCCAATACATAATATTATCTCTAGAATTTGTCTTTTTGCCCCAAATAAATTAAAAATTTTGAAAACTCCAGATTAGATCCAAGAAAGCTGATTAACAACAGCTAATTTCAGGGGCATTTTCGCCATAGCGATCACCAAAGATACCCCAATTACCAAACTGTTTTAGCAGTTCCACAAAGGAAAACCAAGCATGTTTAACACGTGGCATCCCTCTTGCCCAACACGTGCCAAGCCGGGAATTCTCTCCACTGGATCCCACACACTCCCCGGCCCCACAAGCCCACGCAGATAGTCTCTTACACTCTTTGTGTCAGTCTCTGCCCATTCAATTTCAAAAAACACAGAGTCTCGTGTTCGTCAAAAAAAGGGCCACAACAAAAAGGTCGCTCTACAGTTCGAACTCAAACGGGCCGCCATTAATGCCCGCCTTTGCTCTGTCACTGTTAAGTCTCTCTCTCTCTCTCGCCGTATGGGCTGTTTTCTTTATCTGAATGTATGTTTACTCTTTCTGATATATATCCACATGTTTATATGTTCATGTATATGAGATCTGATGATGAGAATGTGTGGTGTAGGTGCTTGTATGGAATGAGCTGAGAAGCTAGGATTTTGTGAGCTCATGAGTTCCTTGGATTCTTCATTTGTTCATTTCGGGGTGGTCTCGTGCTTTTTCACGAGATTTCCGCTCTGAGGTTTGCTAGGAAACTTCCGTTTTTTTTTTTTTGCTTTTTCTTTTGAATTGGTGAGAATGGACAGAGCTCGGCACAGGAAGTCGAAGATTCCTAGTGAAGGTCAGATTATCTCTCTGAATACGTCTGTATAAGTTGTGTTTGGTTCTGAGAAAACTGAGCAAAGGAAAAACATTTTGAAAATTTTGTGTTTGTTGTCGTTTTTCATTTTTATCAACAAGGTATTCTTTTTGGTTTCTGAGATAGTTCGACTGAAAGATTCGAAATTAAAATGAAATTGTGTGTTCTTTTTCGGTTTTTTTTTTCTTAGTGATTTTGGAGAATTAGGAATTTCCTACAACTAAGCGAAGTGATCGAAGAAGTTTTCCTTCTCTCTGTGCTGCATTTTTTTTACCAACCAAAACAGTAGTCAATCTGCATGTATGTGCTTTTTTTAAGTTAATCTTGTGCTCGTTTTGAGACGTAGTGCTTACGAGTAAGTTTGATTTCTTCTTCTTAATTTGATTTTTTATACTTATTTATTGTTTAATTAAAAAATTCTCATGTTTCTAACGGTGGATAGTACTCTAAATTTTTTTTTTTTTCTTAAACCAATATATACATTTACTGAGTAATCAACTGGTCCCTTTTGTGCCTCTGTGTTTTCACCTCATGCTCTTTTGAGAAACATCAAGTTCGTGAGTTAGATTTAAAATTTTCTTATTTTGAATTTTTTCTTTGGAAATAATTTTGAAAAAAAATGTAATGGATATCTGATTTAAAATATTACTAAACTAAAGTTGTCTGAGCAATTACACGGCATCTTCTGAGCAACAACCAATTGGCATCTTTTTGAGCAACTTCTTTTTTTTTTTTTTTAAACAGTTGCTCTTTGTGAAACGTCGAGTTCTTGAGTTTGTGACTCAGTTTCGGCATTGTTAGTGCTTTTGTTAAAGTAGATTTTGTTTTCAAGTGGAATGAATGGAGTATTGCCTTTTTTTCCTAGTTGGTCCATAATTTTGTTTCTTCTCAGTGAATTTTATGGTTATGCTGACATATAACTGGCGAGCATTCCTTACCCCAAAAAGAAAAAAGAAAATAACTGGCGACCCTAATGCTCTTGTACAGGCCTAATAGCTCTTAAAGTGGGCTTCTACTATTGTAGATACTATCTTGGATGGTTATTTTAAAGTTGTTGTATATATTTATATACAGGATACTCGCAAATTCAGAAACCAAGAACTGCACCAAAATTGGCTTCCGATTCTAATATTTGCAGTGGCGATACGACTGAGGAAGATGTGGTGCGTTGATTTTTAGGATTTTAATTCGTTTTTCTTAATATTAATATTCTTCAGTCAATCAGTGGTAATGATTTCTTAATCTATTCTAATAAACACTGAACATATGAATTCTAACAGTTCAATTTGGCCTTCATAGGTTATGTTTGAGTTGGCACAGAGCTCGTCTAGGCGAGTTACTGGAACACCAATGAAGAAATTACTAGCAGAAGAAATGTTTAAAGAAACTGAAGCCAGGAGAAGATCTCCTAGTGTTATTGCCAGATTGATGGGTCTTGATGGGCTGCCATCTCTGCAGCCTGTTCATAGACAGCAGAAAAGGTTATCGGACAGTTATCAACAGAGGACTGCATCAATAGGAATCCCAAGGAATGCCCAATTTTGTGACAGCCGATCTAACAGCAAGAGCTCAATGGAGCAGCAAGAATTCAAGGATGTGTATGAAGACTTGGAAGCATCACATATAGCAAATCGCCGTTACTCATCGAAATGGAATGTGGACTCCAAGTTCACAAAACCAGAAGTAGCATTCATGCAAAAAAAGTTTGTGGATGAGAAGCTTCAACATTCCAAAGGATACTTTGACACACTACACATGCTAGACTCCCGTAAGGATTTAATGCTGAAATCTTATCAGCAGCCAGATTATCTATTTGTGAAGCATCTGCGAGATCTCAAAAGTGATCAGCCCAGTTCTTTGGGTGGTAAGATAGCTATTTTAAAGCCTTCAAATGCTGCAAAGTATGAAGGCAGTGCTAAAGGATGGAAATCAGAGAGAGAAACTTCATGTAAGCATGACATCAAAACTCATCGAAGACGTGCGGATGGCCTTCTACTGCACCCCTACAATAGTAATGGTGCTCGTAATTCTCTCAAGTCGTCAAAAGGTTTATTAGAAGGGAAGGATGACAAGGGCGTTCTTTCGACAAGAATTGTTGTTCTGAAACCTAACCTTGGGAATGCAAACATTGGTGTTAAATCTGTTTTTTCACCTGATTTTCCACATGCTTATCAGTCTGATAGTAGGAAGCATATAGAACTTTCAAGTGTTGGTATTGGGAAGGCAGGTTCATGGAAAAACAAAGAATTATCTAATGATGTGGGGTTTTCAAGACCTCAGTCTGGAGAAGCTAGACAAATTGCCAAGGAAGTTACAAGGCAAATGAGAGAGAGCCTCTTCAGTGGGCAAATCAATTTCTCGTATTCTGGAAGTGAGTCTGAGGTAATAACATTGAATTCCAGAAATTCCACTAACTGGAATCACCAAATCAAACATTCATCATTTGGTTCAACTGAGTCATCTGTAAGTAGGGAGGCAAAGAAGAGACTGTCAGAGAGCTGGAAGTTGACTCATCGGCATCCAGATCTGGGAGTGGTTGGTAGGGGTAGCACACTGGGTGAAATGCTTGCCATTCCTGATAAGAAACCGAGGCCTGAAAATGTGGATGCTGTAATGGTTCTGGATGGAGTTTGTGATGTGTTTGGTAGCAGCAATGGAGCCTCAGGGTGTGACAGTCATTTGGTTATTAGCAGTAGGGACGGCTGGAAGGATGGATGTATCAGAAATTCATCTAGATCAAGATCACGTCCTCTTTTGTCTTTCGACAGTGGAAGTCATAGAATAGTTGCACAGCGTGAAGCTTTTGTTGAGGAAAGGTATCTGATGCCTAAAGAGGCAATGGGTCGAAGTAGAAGTAAGGCAGTGAAGGGAAGTCTTGGTCAGAAAGAAAATGTTTTATCCAAAAGCTCAAGATCCAGTCGTAAGAAATCTCATTCCTCTCGCAACTCATATACTGATTGTACTGACCCTTTACCTGAAGTCCATTTCAGCCAGGTTCACGAGGAGATCAACTTTAATAGGAGGACTTTATCTGAGCAACAGCCTATGGTTTCTCAGACGCATGATAATAATGACACTTGTGCAAGTTATGTTGTTGATGCAGTTGCGGATGAAGAACGTGAGAGTGTAACGATACCCTCCAAATCTTCTGATGAGTTTCTCCCAGATTCATCTGCTTCTTCCTTAGGAAGTGGCAACTCTACTGCTCGTGATGCAGAGAATCAGGACCTACAGGTTTGATTATTCACCATGTTGAACTATCTTCTAGGACTCGTTTATATTTTATACATGCAGTGGTCATACGAGTTATGGCAGCCTGTATTTCTTAATGTCCCATATTCGAGGGTAACCTGGGTAGTCCAATATTATTTTCCTTTGGTTTCCATTATTAATGAGATGTGATGTACCTAAGCTTTTTGCATTGATTTTTTGGCCCTAAATACTTTTCTGTTTAAGGGGTACTATATACACAGTTTGACATTGTTTCATTTCTATTTCACCATCAGTCTTCAAGATTCTTCAGTTTTTTTAAGACAATCCAGTTCGAATCTTTGTTTTAAAAGAAAGTAAGCAATTGCTTCAAAGATAGTGAGATTGTTTGGATATGCTGTACTGCTTTTAAGAATGGCAGGGTGTAAATTAATGGAGTGTTGAGGCAATCATGTCCTGGAGGATGGGTTTCTTCCACAAGCCATCACAAACCTGCATTCCAGTAGGAGAATGAAAACTTATAATTCTTGGTAGATTCGCTATTGTGCAAAGCTTTATTGCTAATAATTTTGTGGAGAGCTACTGAAAAATATGGGGCGGTGGGAGTTACACTGCCAACCGTAATTAAGGGAACTGTAGTGGCCTAGAGTTCTCCCCTTGTGATGCTTTTGTTTGAAAATTCTAATTTGGGTATCTCAAAAATTTAGTATATGCGAGGTTGAATACTAAAACTATCTACGAGTAATTTCCACATTTATTGCAAATTTAAGCTTTCTGAAGGAAATATAAGATCATTTGATTTCGTCAATATTTTGGGTCATTAATTATCACCACAATTCTAAAACAACCTTAAAGTATTCAGAATATGAAAACTACACAAGTCTATCCACCACTACCAAAATTTAACAAATCTCTGACGATCTACAATTTGGGTATATCGATCCCAAACGGGGTGGGTTTGCGATTCAGATTAACAAAATGTACGATTCCAAATTGTACACATAGCACAAATATAAAATACATATTAATTAACTATGTGTATATAGATTTATAATTATATTGTTTTAGATGATAGAAAAACGAGTACAAATATAAACTAAATGATAACTGACTTAATGTATATAGGTGTTCTATGATATATAATATTTTGTATAGTGGAGACAATGATCTAGATAAGAGTTCCAAAACGAATTGTAACTCAAAATACTGTTCCAGTTAAGCTAACCCCCACCATACCGCTTACCTAAAAAATGTCGTATCGCATTCCCATACTCGAATCACGTACTAAAATGACCCACGATCTAGCTAACATTCTACTGCAGCATGCTTTACAGAACATGGCAGATATTTTGCTCAAGAAGATAAACCTAGCTTGAAAGATGGGAAAAGTTTGGATAAGGAGGTTCATTCCTTTTAATTTTGAGAATCCTTGTCTACTTGTCCAATAGGCTGTTCATAGTTAAAAAACTACTAGACTAGATGGATTCCAACTAAACTTTCTCTTCTACTTGAATTTGTATCGTCAGTCCAGGCTTTCATTATTCAATTGGAATGTAGATGTTCTGTTGCTACACGGGGGATATAAGAAGTTGCACTAACAAGAACACATTAAGTAAAGTAGTTAAGGTAAGGAGGGCCTTACATGGGGGGTCTAAGGAGTTGCGCTCATAGAAAGTGATTAATTAAAGTAGTTATGGCAAGGAAGAACTTAGAATCTTAGATTGTACAATTTGGCTTCTAACTCAATCTTGGCCAATATCTTGGTCTTTTCTCAATCCTTCAAGGGAAGGGGGTGTCCTAGAGCGACGTACTATGCATGTTTGTAAGCTCATATATTAAAAGTGTTAGTACATGCCCCCTTCATTGATGTTTGTTCCTTTTTATTCATGAACAAGTATCAATTGGCTTGAGAACTCCATCTTATCTTTAGGGACTTTAAATAGGTAATTAAACAATTGGTTCTTGATTACTTCATAAAGAAACATAAGAATTTATTTTCCTATGAGCTAAAGCCATAACTGAACAAGTGACTACTATCTCATCTGAGAACCCTTACTAGATCTAGAATGGGCGTATCAAGAGCAAGTTGGATTGGAAAGTTCAATTCAGAGAGAAAGCTGAGATGCATTCTTTGGCTCTTTGGTGTCACTTTTTCTTGAAGCTCCCACCTGTTCAATATTGATGAAAGGACTTGCATTCTAGTCTTTTAAGACAACATTAGGGCCAACACAAATCATGGGGGAATGCTATCAAGAGAAAATGGATAGAAGTTGGAAAACAAGTGATTAATTTTTCAACCATTGCCAAACATAGAATGGGCACGTCAGAAACCTGTTCGATTCCGAAATTGAAGTCGAAGAGTAAGCCAGAAAATATGAGGCCTTATGCACAGTTTGGCTCTTTAGCATTACCCTATCTTGAACAAAGGTTCGTGCATATTCCATGTATCGAATGACTTGGACTCTAGGCGACATTGATGTCAACGCAAGCCATGGGGATTGCCATCACAAGAGAATGGATTGAAGTGAGTTGTATCCCCTTTTTTTTAGATGGGATGATTATTCATGTTGATTGGTGTTGACATTTACCAAAATGATGTCATTTTGTCGTTTACTAAAATGGTATCATTTTTTTATGTGCCTTAATTATAATAATTTATAGTGCATCCAATTGCTTCATCTATTATGCTATTTGGCACACTATGTAATTTAACCTAACGGGAAATCCCAGTATTATTTAAGGCGTAAAGGGAATTGGTCTCCTAAGGGCCTGGGCGAGAAGCGAAGCGAATGCTTCCTCGAAGCAAAGTGAACAATATAAAAAATAAATAAATATTTTAGTTTAATATTTTGATTACANTACATATTAATTAACTATGTGTATATAGATTTATAATTATATTGTTTTAGATGATAGAAAAACGAGTACAAATATAAACTAAATGATAACTGACTTAATGTATATAGGTGTTCTATGATATATAATATTTTGTATAGTGGAGACAATGATCTAGATAAGAGTTCCAAAACGAATTGTAACTCAAAATACTGTTCCAGTTAAGCTAACCCCCACCATACCGCTTACCTAAAAAATGTCGTATCGCATTCCCATACTCGAATCACGTACTAAAATGACCCACGATCTAGCTAACATTCTACTGCAGCATGCTTTACAGAACATGGCAGATATTTTGCTCAAGAAGATAAACCTAGCTTGAAAGATGGGAAAAGTTTGGATAAGGAGGTTCATTCCTTTTAATTTTGAGAATCCTTGTCTACTTGTCCAATAGGCTGTTCATAGTTAAAAAACTACTAGACTAGATGGATTCCAACTAAACTTTCTCTTCTACTTGAATTTGTATCGTCAGTCCAGGCTTTCATTATTCAATTGGAATGTAGATGTTCTGTTGCTACACGGGGGATATAAGAAGTTGCACTAACAAGAACACATTAAGTAAAGTAGTTAAGGTAAGGAGGGCCTTACATGGGGGGTCTAAGGAGTTGCGCTCATAGAAAGTGATTAATTAAAGTAGTTATGGCAAGGAAGAACTTAGAATCTTAGATTGTACAATTTGGCTTCTAACTCAATCTTGGCCAATATCTTGGTCTTTTCTCAATCCTTCAAGGGAAGGGGGTGTCCTAGAGCGACGTACTATGCATGTTTGTAAGCTCATATATTAAAAGTGTTAGTACATGCCCCCTTCATTGATGTTTGTTCCTTTTTATTCATGAACAAGTATCAATTGGCTTGAGAACTCCATCTTATCTTTAGGGACTTTAAATAGGTAATTAAACAATTGGTTCTTGATTACTTCATAAAGAAACATAAGAATTTATTTTCCTATGAGCTAAAGCCATAACTGAACAAGTGACTACTATCTCATCTGAGAACCCTTACTAGATCTAGAATGGGCGTATCAAGAGCAAGTTGGATTGGAAAGTTCAATTCAGAGAGAAAGCTGAGATGCATTCTTTGGCTCTTTGGTGTCACTTTTTCTTGAAGCTCCCACCTGTTCAATATTGATGAAAGGACTTGCATTCTAGTCTTTTAAGACAACATTAGGGCCAACACAAATCATGGGGGAATGCTATCAAGAGAAAATGGATAGAAGTTGGAAAACAAGTGATTAATTTTTCAACCATTGCCAAACATAGAATGGGCACGTCAGAAACCTGTTCGATTCCGAAATTGAAGTCGAAGAGTAAGCCAGAAAATATGAGGCCTTATGCACAGTTTGGCTCTTTAGCATTACCCTATCTTGAACAAAGGTTCGTGCATATTCCATGTATCGAATGACTTGGACTCTAGGCGACATTGATGTCAACGCAAGCCATGGGGATTGCCATCACAAGAGAATGGATTGAAGTGAGTTGTATCCCCTTTTTTTTAGATGGGATGATTATTCATGTTGATTGGTGTTGACATTTACCAAAATGATGTCATTTTGTCGTTTACTAAAATGGTATCATTTTTTTATGTGCCTTAATTATAATAATTTATAGTGCATCCAATTGCTTCATCTATTATGCTATTTGGCACACTATGTAATTTAACCTAACGGGAAATCCCAGTATTATTTAAGGCGTAAAGGGAATTGGTCTCCTAAGGGCCTGGGCGAGAAGCGAAGCGAATGCTTCCTCGAAGCAAAGTGAACAATATAAAAAATAAATAAATATTTTAGTTTAATATTTTGATTACACCTAAATATTCAAGTTTTAACTTTACAAATATAAAATATTTAAATGCAACCAAAATAATAAATATCTACATATTTTAAATAGACAAGATATTAAATATTGAATATTATTGCATTCTAAAAATAATCAATTGACATAATCATATGATCTAAATGGAAAGCTATCAAGTGTGGGTTCGATTCCCATCGTGATTGTTAATATCATCACTAAATATAGCACTCACAAATTGACTAATCAAATAGAGCATATAGCAATTGCTTAATCAAGCAAATTGATAAACAAGAGCATTTACCACAAACAGAGCATTCAATATAATCTAATCATAAAAGACAAATTACCATATGATATTGTCTGAGGAATCATTCAATTTATTTTATACATATACATATATAGCATCATCTTTGGAAGAGTTTAGTTGATGTTAAGGAAGAAGAAGATGGTAGGCTCGCTTAGTGGCTTTGGCTCACTTTTTACTCGCTTTGCCTTAGTTGTTCATGGCGTTGAAGGCTCACTTTGCTTCACTTCTCGTTTCACTTCTTGCCTAGGCTTGTTTTTTACAATATTGGGAAATCTTGCACAAGTTTACAAGTAGACGATGACGTCAAATTCTAAATGATGCTTGCGTAGAACCTACTTCAAGGAAGGCGATTAAAGTTAAACTTGAGTTCTCAACATACCTCTACGAGGCCTGAGTGGACAATCAAAAACTATTCTCATGGAGAGCATCTTGGGTAACATTCCCTATTGAGACAAGTTAGGATCGCATCATAGTTCAAACTATCTACCAAATACATATATGACTTGATCGAGTCCTATTTGACTCAAATACCTTCCATTTTGATATTGCTCCAAGTTCCACGAAACCATAAGCCTCACGCTACTTGGCCGAGTTGTTGGAGTTATTTTCATGTTGTCTGAGTTATCATTGCTCAATCAGCTGAGTGTTTGTGATGTCTCGGTTTGGGATGAATATCTCGACATTTTTGACTTCTTATATTAAGCATTTTGTGTATATCACTCAATAGCATTCTACCACGTCATGGTCGATGAGTCTTGGTGCCCTTCGAGTGAAGGGTCGATACCAAGACTCTAAATCATGGTTGGCAAAAACCTAGGTTAAGGGTGGGATTGAAAATAGAAGGGGTGCAAGCCTAGGCAATCAAAGGTCCCGACAAGGATAAGGTTTGATATTTAACGCACAATCTCATCTTGAAAGGGAAAGATAGATAGTATGCGTTGCCCTCCTTACATAACCATAAAACTGCATTTAAACATCTGAGTAGATTTCATAAAGTTAGTTATTATTATTAAATGATGGAAAGTTTAGGGTTGTATGGAGATGAGGTCAACTGCACCACTTAAATTCTTATGCAATTTAACATGAGATTTTGTAGATTATTTTTTTTATGGGAGATAATAGGATACAGTGCTTTTGTATAAAGTCAGGGTTATAAAGAATAAGGAGGTTCGTTGGGTTGGTGGTATGCTATATACAAATTCACATTTAAGTACAAGTTCGAGCCTTGGGAGTTGGCTTTTTGGTAGTTAGGAGCCCTATTGGCAGCCCGTGTTCTACAACACTCAGGACCTCACGAATTTGAATTGTGCAGTTTGCAAATCCATAGTAAACTAGCTATGCCCAACCGGTTTGTCCATTAGAGTTAAATTTTGCATTATTAAGTTGCGTATATTATTTACATTTATTAATTCCTGTTGTGCATTTGGTTATTGGAATTATATGGAAAAACAGTATTTATGAAACTTTATCTTTTTATTGAATTAGTCAATATGTTCAATGTTTCTGGGAACATAGAAACCGATTTTCCTTAGAATACATAATTGGCGTCTTGACAAATTTGGTAGATGTAGAAATTTGTTGTGCGTTTTTTATGATTCTTCTCATCATATTCCACAATTGCAATTTCAGTTTTTGGCATATCAACTAAAAAGCATCTTTCGTGTTACGATAAGGCATCATATTAGTTACATGATTTTATCTAGTGACTCCAAAAATGTTAAATGGACACCCAAGTGCCTTGCGTATTATACATTGTGGATACCCTGTCTAAGCATTGTTTGAAGGGACTTTAGTGATCATGATGACATGAATTTTGATATAGCGGCGTTTATCCAACAAAATAAAGAGGCTAGTTTGAACGTCATCAATCTCCTTTTCTGCTGCCATAACACGCCAACGGGGGCTGCATGTTGCAACTGCATGTGCATGTGCACGTATCATATGTTATGTATTATAGGTATCATATGTGAACTGATGTGAGGATCACTAATTGTTGTGCGGGCAAACACAAGTACAGCTGGTTTCTAGTTTGGGAATACAATAATTAAACTGTGGATGCATTTTGAATTTTGAGTACAGGTAAAAATGAATTTTATTTATGTTGCATGAGCATTGGAGCTACTATATGTTGAATTTGTGCTGCAACATATAATTTTACCCAATTGTAGTGTGCACGTGTGCACATTGTGCAAATGTTTCTTTCTGACGGGGTTCCTCCTGTGAGTCTGGGTACCAAATCTCCACACTATTTTCAGTCTACACTTGAAAATTGACTGGTTAAAGTGAGATCAACTTTAGATGATAAACAGAGTCAGTTTGCTCTATGGTATTTTCATTAGTTCAATAGTGGATTCTTTACCAGAAATGTTCAATTGCTGCATGGAAGTTCACTAATTTCAAAAAAGTTTACATTGTGTTGCATGATTTAATGGTTATTGGAAGATTCTCACAATGACTAGCATTATCTAATTTATATGCTTGCGAGATACCTCCTTTTGTTCATCTCTCTTTTTATTTCAATTTTCCTGCAATTAATTGTGATGGTGCTTCACTTTCATATCAACATTGTTTTTGTAATTAATTTATAATGTTTCAGGAATCTTCACTTCCACCGTCTGACGGAAGTTTTGTTGCAGTACAGTCCCCTGGGCCTGAACCAGAAACTTCAGAAAGCTCCCAGGAGGCTGATCATCCTAGTCCAGTTTCAGTTCTGGAAGTCCATTTCACAGATGATGTGTCGCCTGGTTCTGAATGCTTTGAGAGAGTCGGTGCTGGCCTTCAGGGTAAATAAGAAGCTCTTTACTTTATCAATTAAAGTTTACAATTTGATTGCATGTTATTTTTTGTTAGTTTTTTATGGCATAAATCCTTACATTGTGTAAATAAAACACTAATGAAATGAGAATGACTGCATGGCATGAACAAAGTACCAGCAAATCCTTACATTGTGGGTTATTATATATTATACACTTTGGTCAGTATTTTTGACATTATGCTTGTTTCAAGGGTCTTAATCTAATTATATCACTCCTTATGATGTAGCATTGGCATGTAATTGTGTTGCCTTAGCCAAAGTAGTAGTCATCTCCTGAGTCACACTACCTTTTGCAGTTCCCTATGCGAGTGCATTTGGTTTAGTTTTTGGTCTTGTTGGGGTAGTCATACATTGCGCTGTCTACATTATAGTGACATACATTTTCTGGACAATTTTTAAGCTTTTCCTTTAAAGAGGAATTGCTTCATTGTCATCATGTTTGTACCTGTCTGCTTCTCTGCTTTAATCTCTCTTTTGTCGTCTCCGTTTTTTGGTAGAACTAAGACTGCAACTTCAGCTCCTCAAGATGGAGTCGGAATCATATGCTGAGGTACCCATGCTTCCCTCAACTGATGAAGATCTTGGCCAAGGATCAATTATCTTTTCGGAAGAGCAGGGGATATTTAGATCTGAAAGCTGGGAATCTTTCTACTTGGATGATGTGCTTATTGACTCTGGTTTCATCAAAACTGATCCTGATATGTTGATGACAATTTGGCACTCTCCAGAGTGCCCTTTGGGTCCTTGGGTATTTGACAACCTTGAGAAGAAGTATTGTGATGAGACAACTGGGCCGAGATCTGAAAGGAGGCTACTCTTTGACCGTATAAATTCAGCATTCTTGGAGATCTATCAGAGGTTCATCGACCCCTGCCCATGGGTGAAGCCAGCAACAAGACAAGTTGGTACAAAATTGCAGCTACATGGGGTGAAAGATGAACTGCATAAATTACTGGCAAGCCAAGAAAAGAGAGCGAACGAGGACATATCTGAAATGATGCTAGACTGGGAGATGCAATGGTTAGATTTCGGAGACAATATGAACATGATAGGTAAGGACATCGAGAAATTGTTGATAAATGACCTTATAACAGAGTTGGTAGTCATGCATTACTTTTGAACCAAAACTCTAGTCTAGGTAGTTAAATAGACAGATGAAGAGATTGGAAGGGTTGGTTTAGAATGTATAAAAATAAAGTCCCATATTCTGCATCAAAATAGTAAGTTCTAGTTATGGTGAAATTAAATTACTAATTAAGGCAGATTGTTTTTTCCTCTGTTGTTTTTAGATTTGTTTAGGTATGGTATAACTCATTTCGGAAGAGGTTGGGAGAGGATCCAACACCAATGATGCATAGGGTTGGTAGTTGAGTCGAGTTAGTCAGGCTCGGTTCGTAAAAGATCCGACTCGAGCTTAGCTTGTGCACGAATTGAGTTTGAATAATTTTTTTGGCTCGTGTTTTCAAAGGCTCGGCTTGAATTGTTGAGTTATTCGGACTTGACTCGAGTTTAATTTGACTCATTTTTTTAAATGAGTTGAACTTCAATAATTTTTTAAGTTTGTTTAAAAAAAGGGATTCAATAGGTTTAGTTTGATTATTTGTCTCAATTGTATGTAAGGCACACACTCTAAGGGCATGTTTGTTTTGAGTATTGCTATGCATGATATTAAGAAATGTATTCCTTACATTTCCAATATTAATGGAAATTAGTACCGGTAATAGAAAGTATTTTAATTTTTTTTTATGTTTATTTGTTCAATAGGTACTATGGTGGGTCTCATAATTAACTATCTATTTATCACATCTTGAATAACAAATATACAAATTTATCTTTAATATCATTCATTCCATTATTTCGTTTGTATAGTGCTTTTGCACAATGTTTGGTATATAATACACGGTATGACAATTTATACCAAAAAAATTTCGGATAATGTAAAAAATTCACATAAAAAATAAAGAATTTAATGCTATGAATTGGTGATACCGTAAAAAAATAAAAATTGGTGACACTATACGCTTAAACATAGTACAAGGAAAAAAATTAAAATAAATTTTTTTAAAAAAATATAAAAAATAGGTGATATCATACCCTTAAACATAATATAAGAAAAAAATTCAAAATAAATTTTTTATATATGAACTTTATACAAAAGGGTATTTGTCATTTTTCTTGCTTGTACCGTCAGTAGATTTATACTAACAAATAATACCACCAAGTAGGTAGTATTCACTAAAGCTATGTACAAGGGTTAAAGACTACTGTACAAATTAGATCGATATTACAATTCAAAAAATAGTACTGCATATAAAATGTCAATCAAACAAGGTAATAGGTGGATTTTAAGTATTATTTATTGCTATTCCACCCTTTAATAGGTGGTTGCCGTATTAGAAATGGTAGGATTAGATAAAATAATCCGGTCTAATACAATATAGAAGGACAAAAGACAAGACTAAATATAATATTAGAATAATACATAATTTTATCTAGTGTTTGGTAATACACAACATAAACGTTGGATAATAATTATTTAATCCAATCGGTTGTTTATTTAAGGAATTATTTTATCGTATTAATGTTGAATTAACAAAAATATTCTCAATTAGTGTTTATTATATTGATAACAATTTGATTTTATCAGTTAAAGAGTTATAATAGTAAATGTGCAAAATAATATGTTTGAGTTGGATTATAATACCACCTCTTTTTGTGGTATTAAAATACCTTCATAATACAGGTTTAACGTATAAAAAATATATGATAAGAATGCGATAAGTATACTTTTTTTAAATTAATACGGTGTCAAATTTACTTACAAAATAAAGTATTAGATCTGATTAAATAAAAAATAATATAATTTAATATTTAATCCCCTTATAATACATCTACCAAACGAGTCCTAATAATACGTGAGGCAGGAATGTGGTCCATAAGCTGCCCTAAAAGCTTGGTGACCCATAGGGGTAGTAAGTTCACCCGACCCGTATTGTGGGGGCCTTTGTGGGCAATTATACCGATTGACAACGTGTTCTAGGCTTGGTGTGTCTTACCATGATCGGCCCGTGTAAGGCCACAAAGTGCCCTCCGGATGGACATGTGGCTCTTGTCTCTAAGATTGCAAATTTTAATTAGGGCTCGTGCAATTGTCCATTAAGATTGGTCGGATGAATAGTCCTTCAAAGGGTCATCAAGCCTGGCTCTATTGGAAGATATTGGGCTGCCCTCTTTTTCGGCGAGCCTGGTTCGTTGACTAGTCCATTGTGAAGAGAGAAATTTTGTCCAAGTTAAGGTTGAAATGATTTGAGTCCGTTAAAAAACATTATTTGGGGGTAAATCTATTTTAATCTTATTAGTAAAGAATAAGGGTGTCAAACGTGCCGAGGTAAACGATTACGTGTCGGATTAAACTGGTGACGGATAAATAATATATAAATTCGTACACGATATATTTAATAAACGGATAAAAAATATCAACACGAACATGACCCGTTTAATAAACAGGTAACACGACATGACTTGTTTAACCGGTTTAATTTTAAAAAAAATTATATTAACAAATTTTAATACTCTATTTTTTTTACTAAACTTTTTTTTACTGTCAACTGTACTTACCTCAAAAAAGAGGAATTTCTAGTTAAATCTTAAATAAAAATCAAACTTGAAGGCTAAAAAAAAGTCAAGAGGTCACTACTTTTTATAGGCAAGTCAACTCTCTCCGTCTCCCCTCATTTATCGATGTAGGACAAAAACAAAAGGCATTGGTTTGCCTTTGTTTTTGAACTATTCTTCATCTCCCCTCCTTTGTTTTTGAACTACTGCTTTACTTTTTTTTTTGGTACTGATTTTTTTACTTTTTTTTTCTAGCTAATTTTTTAAAATAATTATTAATTTATTATTATATTAATTTTATTTAAATAGGTAAACGTGTGATAAAACGATTTGATAGGTCTCATTCGAACACGATCCGTTTATTAAACGTGTCTAACGGGTCGACCCATTTATTAAACATGTTTGGCGGGTCAACCCATTAACCATCCAAATTCGTTAAGATCTCACCCAAACCCACTTAATTCATGTCGATTCGCATCGGTTAATTGTGTCGTGTCAGATTTTGAAAGGTCTTGTAAGGAGTTAATTCCATTTGTTTAATCTCAAAAATACCTTTAATAGTCTTACTTTGGTCAGTTATAGAAAGTTGAAGACATTATCTACAATGAGCTATATATAGAGATCAATGATTAAATATATAAATGCTTGATTTACAATGGTAATTGTCGATTACAAGTTTTTCATAAATACTTTAAATTCAAATTCTTAGTCATCATTTTGTTTGTTATACATTTAAATAATTGACTTTTGAGATTTAAGTCTAATTTCAAAGAAATGACGGTTTAAGCTTGAGTACGAGCTCGAGATTTTGAAAAAATAACATGGGCGGTGCTTGCCAAGTATTTGATTTTAGCATAGTAACATCAATTTTAAAATGTAATTTACTAACACATAACTTTTTTTTATGTTACTATTTTTTATTGAACATGTTATTAATTTTTTAGTATAACTTTTTTGGATACTGAATAATTGAAGACTTCTTCATTTAGTTATGAGTTTGAATGTTACTATTTTTATTTTCAATTTTGTTTAATGTTCTATATTGCTATTTTTTTTTTGTTAAGTATGTTAATTTTTTTTGTTAAGTATGTTACTGCTTTTATTTTTTTTTTAAGAATGTTACTAATTTTATTGAACACGGTACTATTTTTATTGAAAATGTTACTATTGTTATTTTTTTTAAATATTAATATTGAATGTTACCATTTTTTTTATGTTTAAATGTTACTATTTTTGTGTGTTTAAATGATATTATTTTTTGTGTTTAAATATATATTATTTTTTGAGTTTAAATATATATATATATATAATATTATATTTGTATTCATATCCAAAATTAAATCACAAACATAGAGCAAATAAATGAATTTAAGTATCGGTTGTAGTTGAGGTAAATGGTGGTGGGCGGCAGTGGTGGTGGTAGGAGACAGTGATGGTTGTGGTGGGTGGCAATGACCGTGGTGGCGGCGACGACAGCGGTGGTGGACGCGGTGACAGCTACGACGATGATGGTGGCGGCGACGATGGTGGTGGTGGTGGTAACGGCAATGGCGACGGCGACAGTGGTGATAGTGGAGGCAATGGTTGGGGTAGTGGTGGTAGTGATGGTGGCAGTGGTGGTGGTGGTGGTGGCGGCGACGACGACGACAACAGAGGTGGTGGTGGTGGTGGCCACGACAGTGGTGGTGATAGAGGTAGTGGTGGGGGGGGGTAGAGATAGTAATGAGACGGTTTCAAATACTATTTGTTTTTAAAGTATTTATGAGAAATAATTCGTAGAAGTACTTTTAAAAAGTCACTCCAAACACACCTTTAGAGACCTATTTTTTCTATTAAATTTATGGTGTTAATATTAACCGTTAGATTAACTTTAGAGTAAAATTTAAAGCGATTTGAACTACAAAAAGCAAAAGTCACTTTGTTTATCTTTTGAAATTTGAATTATAAATTATTTTATTATATAGATAAGGTGGCGGTGGCGGGGGCGGTGGTGGTGGTGACAGTGGTGGCAGCGACGAAGACGACGATGGGGATGGTGGTGGTGGTGGCTGCAATGGTGACGACGGTGGTGGTGTTGGAGATGGCGACGGTGGTGGTGGTGGCGGTAGCAGTGGTGGTGGTGGTGTTAGCGAAGACGATAGTGGTGCTGGCAGCGATGATAGTGGTGGTGGCGGCGATGGTGACGATAGTGGTGGCGGTGATGGCAACGACCGTGGTGGTGGCGGTGATGGCGACGACTGTGGTGGTGGCGGCGACGGCGATGGTGGTAGAGGTAGGGGTGGGGGTGATGGTGGTAGAGCTAGTGATAAGGCGGTTTCAAACACTATTTTTTTTAAAGTATTTATGAGAAATAATTCGTAGAAGGAATTTTAAAAAGTCACTCCAAATATACTTTTAGGGGCCTATTTTTTATATTAAATTTAGGGTATTAATATTAATCGTTAAATTAACTTTAAAGTAAAATTTAAAGCAGTCTGAATCGCGAAAAACAAAAGTCACTTTGTT